TTAGACTTCCCAGGAGGCCCCTTCAGACACTGGAAGGTGCTGTGAGGTCTCCACACAACCTTTCCTTCTCCAGTCCCTTTCCCAGCCTGTCTCCAGAGGGGAGATGCTTCAGTGCCCCTGTCGGCTTTGTGGCCTCCTCTGAACTTGCTCCAACATTTCCATGTCCTTATGTTCCTGTGTCCCCAGCCTGCCAGGCCCACCCTGGTGCTCCTTGTGCCAGGGAACTCCTAAAGCAGCCGAGGGAAGCAGGGCCCAGCTCCCCTCGTGTTCTGAACTTGCACCCCTTTGAAGACACCTTTCAAAACACCTTAGAAACCACAAAACTGAGCCCCCCTAATTACTGTTTTGCCTGTAAAACTGCATTGAGGGAAGCTGTGTTGCAAAGACTCCCCAATTAACTGCGCTCAGATGTCTGAGTTTCAGCAGCGCTGTGCGAACTCCACGTCAGCAAAATGTGCTGTGGGAGCTCATTCAGGAAAGCCAGGCACCCATTTACATCCCTAAAGGCTCCTGTTCCTCTGTGTGCTCACATTCCTCAAGTGTGGACACATCTGCTTCATTCAGAATGTGCCGGATCAGCTGGAGAATTTACACCCATTTTCAGCCTGTGGAATTCACAGGCTCCTCTGGAATGCAGAGGCTTGGAGATCTTTACTGGAAAGTGAACCAGGATGGCTGAGGTGGCACCAGCTTCCCATGGGGATAATGCCAGGCTGGAATGAGGGGGTAGCTGAGGCCAAAGAGGGCAAAGAATGTGACATTGGAGAAGGACAAGCTCCCAGAGGCCTGTCCAAGATCTATATGAACAGCCTGTGAGTGAGGGCATGGACAAACCCCTCCCTCCATCCTCAGGGCTGGGTTAGCAGGAGAAACACATTTTGGGTTTGGAATTTGATAAAATCCTCTCTTCAGCGCTCTCCTTGGACTCCCAGTGTGCTGTGGGATTCCTTCAACACGTGGGCAATTCCAGCAGCTCCTGCCTGACCAAGGGCTCCTCCTAACCCTGAATCCTGGAGCTGGGACAAAACCTGCTCAGGGGTGCAGATCCCAAGGACATGGACGTCACTTGTAACTCCAACAGGCTCTTGGTGAAGTGTGTAGTGAGTCCTGTCCACCTGGAATGGTCTCTTTGCTTCCAGTTCTTTGATTTCAGTATTTCTCTGCCTCAGCAGCACCCAGGATTACAGGTGGGCTCCTCCCTGCTCCAGAAAAACACTGGCAGGGTTTTGTTTCCTCATCACGTGCCGGGTGGTCAAACTGCTGTGGTTCCAACCATTCCCTTCTCCCAGGTGCTGGCAGCAGCAAACATCTCCAGGATCTTTGGCTGTATCCTGCTGCCAGCAGATTCCCGTGTTCCCTGCAGGCTGTTTGTCAGAGGTATCACCTGAGGGGTTGGCCTTGGGATGGAAAAGCAGGGCTTGCATTTGAGGAGCTGTCCTTTTCTAGCTCATCTTAGGATTTGCAATATCTGTACTGTTGGGCTGCCTGTGTGTGTTTTGAGATTGGGTTTTCTTGGGCTGTTAGTGCTTTAAAAGCAATTAGAGTTGAGGTGAGATGCTGGTCACTAAGCAGATGAATTTATAAATAAAAATATATATTAGATGTCTGAGAAAAATTAGAATAAAACCCTTAATTACATGAAGGGAAGCTGCATTTTGGTGAAGATGATACACTTGGGAGAACAATGAGTTGGTGAAAAAGCTGGACCTGTCCAACCTGATCTTTCTCACTGAGGGGTGTTTGGAACAAACAGACCATGCAGAAATAAGAACTTGGCCAAAGAGCTTCAGCTCTTGTGCTCCCAGCAGCACTTCCACCATTGCTGCTCCGAGGAGAGATTCCTCAGGGCTGTAAATCCCAGGAACTGACCAGTTGGTGCTCCAGGAAGGTTCAGATGTGCCCTTCTCTTCCTGGCAGGCAGGTTGGGAGGGCTGCTGTTGGTACACGTGGCAAAGTCAGTGTATCATGGAAATACTGGTGGTTGTTGTTAGTTTTGAAGTATTTGTGGATGGAGGCAAGTGATGAGGCTGAAAATTCCAAGAATATTTTATAGTATATATTGTATATATATATAGTGTATATATATAGTATATATCTATATATCTATATCTAATCTGTCTCTATATATGTATATGTATATTTATATACACAAATACTTGACAAACCCATATCTACATTATAAAAATAAATATCTATAAATATAAAGATATAATATATGTAAATATATTTTTACATATTCTATTATACAAATAACTATATAAATCGATATAAAAATCAATATATACTTTATATATATGTATATATATACATATATATATAAATATATATATATATACACATATATTTTATATATATGTATATATAAAATAATCACAACTCAAAATCCAAAACTTAGACCTGTACAGATCCATTGTCCTGGAAGAGAAACTCTGGATCCCATGACACACACGATTCCTAGGATGGGTGATTTCTGTAGGTAACCCTTGGTCAGGTGTGAGGAAGCTTTGCCAGCAGGAGGAGGATCAGCTGAGCACTCAGAACATTCCAGATTCCTCTGGGCTGTGCAGGGCTCTTGTGCCTCTCACTGCTCCAAGGAAGTGGAACAAAACCACAGCCAGGCCTCTTCATCCTCTTGTCTTCCGTGTGGTTTTCACCTTTTAGAGTCACTGATTCAAACCTCCCTGTTTGGCAAATGTTCAAATGGTTTCATTTTCTATTTCATCAGAAAATGTAAAATAGAAGAAGGAGGGGGTGGCACTTCTGCTGCTGAGTGAAAGCTCCCTTGGTTTAACTCAGGGCCTGGAGTTTTCTGCCTTGGAATTCGTGACATTTTCCATGACAGCATCACAGGGTTTTTAGGAAAGCAAAATTCTGTCAAGCTTTTTGTAGGAATGTGGGGATTTTGAGTCTCAGTAAGTCCATGGCAGTAGGACAGCTTATGGCAGTGCTGCTTCAGCTCTTGTAGGATCAAGGGATCTGGGAAAAAACATCCCTGGAAATCAGTGAAGGGTCTGTAGACACCACTCTGCTCAGCTCACTCTTAAATCTGGCAGAGTTTCAAATGGACTCTTCCTGGAGAATTATCAATATGAAGTGTAATAACGGAACACTTTGGCTTTTACCTTTATTGGGAAATTATATCATGAATAAATATGAATTCTTGCTGAAGTGCCCCTGCCTGGAATGCAGATGGGGTTAATAGAGATATGGAAAAAGGTATTTTCAACATCACTTATGATAATTAAGTTCTGAGCCTTGTTTGAAGTAGGTGTGTGTATTGCTGGCCAATTCAGAACAAAAATAGTGATTAATTATGATATTTCTCTTGTGCAAATGAAGATCTGATCTATAGGTAGCCACGAATTCTCAGAACAGAACAAAACAAATGAGGTTTTTTAATCAGAATCTTGGAGATGTTGCAGTGTGGATGCAGATGGAGTCTGGATGCAAATGTAGGGGAGGAGAAGTTGCTTTCTATGGATTGTTTTGGGGATTTTATTCTGTATTTTGTTTTAATGGAGTTGAACTCTTTGCCCATTGTGTGTCCCAGTCTGGTGGAGACCCTGCAGAGGAGCTGTGTCCTGGGGCTGGGCAGGGCTCAATTCCTTTGGGATGGGTTGCAGGGGCAAGCAGTGGTCTTATCTGACCCAGGAATGAGGAACCAAGACAGAAGAGCTGGAATCTGACCTGGAGTTTTGTGCAATTCTCATTTTTGAGTGGCAAAGAAACCCCAGGAGATCTGGGCTGTGAGATGCTGAGCGGAGGCCCTTTGGCCATAATGGGAAATATCTTAAAATATTTAAAAGTTAATTAAAACATAATGGCAGGCTCATGACAGACTCTATAAAGTGTTGCCATTATTTTGGCACCTGAAGTCAAGGTTTGGGCTGGGGGTTGTTTCCAAAAGAGCTGCTCTCTGTAGCACAGGGAGGGAGGCAAGCAGCCCAAGTATCTGAAGTTTTAGGAACCCAGGACCAGGAACAGTCCAGTGCTGCCCTCTGAGCATCCTGAGGAGCAGAAATGGTTCCTGTGGGATGTGTGAGGCTGCCCTGGGAGTTCAATTCCCTGCAGGTCCTGGAGAACGGGGCTCACCAGGACCAGCCCGGGAGCTCCCGCTGCTCCTGCCCTCGCTCCACATCCCTGTGACATCCTTCTGTGGAGCTGGGAGAGCACTAACCCAACCCTGCTAAACTGGCCAAGCACATGGCAGGAGGTGACACCCCCTGGAGCTGTCACAGCCTGGATCACACCCTGGATCCATCCGGTCTGATGAAATCCAGCCCTGGCTGGGAGGAGGCTCCGCTCCGGCTCCGGCAGAGCCGGGGGAGAGGAGCTCAGGAGCTCAAAGGTGTCACTAATTCCTCAGCTTCAGTTCTGCTTTGTTTATAAAACTCAGTATTTTTCGACTAAAAGGCTCTTAGATTTAAAAGGAAAAAAAATACCGGCTGCTGGGAGAGGAATTAACTCTCTCCCAGCCAAAGCAGGACACGGGGTGTTGACATTGGGAGCTGCCGCCTGCAGTTAAATGCCTCTTGTGTGGCTGATCAGTCTGATTACAGCTCCTGCCCCTCCACCCTCCACCACGACTCTCACTTTTCATCTGCCAGCATCCTTTTTCCTTTTCACCCTCTGGGAATACACGAAAAAAATAAAACCCACACCAAAAACCACCCAACAAAACAAAAAAAAATCCAGCCCAATTTAGAATTTGCCCAAGCAAAATATACAGGTCAGGTGGATTAGAAAAAGCTCAGGTTGGCAAATCCCCAGGGAGCAGGTGTTTTGTTCAGTGGTTCTGCCAGAAAATCCACACTCTCAACATTTCGTAACCCAGGGAAGGCGGAGGGGTCTGGAAAAGGGATGCTGGTGGGCAAGGCAATACTGTGTCTTTAATTTTCTTTTCTGAGGGAAGAAAGTCTGCAGAGCCATGACAGGCTCACTTGTTCAGCCTTTAATGTGCGATCTGTTTTCTCCAGTGGAGGGCACTCAGTGTATCACAAACTAGAACATCAGCACCAACAAGCTCCGGAGCATCATCGCTCTCTGGAAAGCCTTCGGAATTAGACAAGAGCTGCCTCTCAGCACAGCTACAAAACACTTTCAACCTGCCCAGCCGAATGGATAAACCGAGCCTGCATAGCTTTTAGAGCGGGCTCTGGCACGGCGCGGGAGGCCTGGCGGCTCCGGGGGCTGGGAAGCTGGAGGATGGATGGCCGTGTCTGGGAATGGCAAAAGGCAGCAGAATGAGGCATTCGAGGTACCGGCAAAGGTTTTGTCATTCCTCCCAGAGAAGTTGGTTCGCCTTCCTCGTCCGCTCCGGCTTCTCCTCGCAGATTTGCCACTTAACGCCGGCTCTCTGATGACTTACACAATGGCTCTCAGAGCTTAGAGTCCCTCCCTACCCCCCCACACTCCCCCCAGCCTTTCGTCCTGTCTTCCCCACCCCCAACCCCTTCCCTATCCTTTCCCTTCCTCATCCCCAAAAATTCTCGCTTGTCCTCTCTAGGGAACTTTGTGGGGGTTTGTGGCATGCACGCTGGATGCCGGCGATGTGAGTGGCAGCCGGGCTGTGCCATGAAGATTCTGATGGTTTAAAGGAAAGAAACCAGTTTGAAAAAGAGAGAGAGAGAGAGAGAGGCGAAGGGGAAGCGAAAAAAAGGGGGAGAGAGAGAAGAAAACAGCTGGAGGAAGGAAAAGGAGGACGTTATTGATGACAAAAGGATGGGTAAGTGAACTTTTCCTGTTTGTTTGCTGGCACGGCTGCACTGATGGGTATATTTTTCAGCGGGATTATTATGGAGAGGGGGGCACAGGCTGAACAGCAGCAGTGGATTCCTGTGCCAGGTGACTCACTGTACTTGCTATTGTATTTTTAGATCGTGTATCCCCCCCTCCACACACACACACACACACACACACACACGCACAGCCCTTTCCTCCTGCAGAGGTTTTACATGTCGTTAACCTGTGAATTGATGCCCCGAGTGAAGGGCTGGACAGCGCGAATTCCCTGCGCCGCCCGCCCCCGCACCTGCCACGCACAGAGCGGTCCATGGATGCGGGAGGCACCTCTCCCCACATCCCTCCTGCCCGCACATCCCCATTCCCTGAGCCTGGAGCGGCATCATTCGGGCTGTCGGGAAGGGCTGTTAACACTTTGCGGGATGTGGGAAGCAGAGGGGAGGGGGGGGGGATTTCTTGTCTAGGTGGTTTTGAAAAGGCTTGTTTGGGCTCTGAAAAGATGCCCCTGGTACCTCTGCTACATTTCCAGCAGTCATTTGCCAGGCTGATTTTTTCAAGTGTGACAGGTTTATTCCCCTCCTTCCTTCCCTCCCCCCCCCCCCCAGCCCCCAAGTCTGTAACAGGCAGAACATATTTCTAGCTGGCTGCTGCTGGCACACAGGCAGGAGCAAATAATAAGATTTAAATTAAAAATCTAACCACTGAAGGTAGGGACACATAGGCAGGGGCGTTTTAGATTAGGAATTTTTTTTGCAGATTGCCCCTTGGTTTAAAATTGGATTAAAGAACTGCAGCACGGGGTTGGTTTTGTGCGTGTGACAAATAATAAAGTGATTATTTATCAAGGAGATACCAGCCCTTGAAACATTTCCTGTTGGAAAATGCGTTTTCATCCTTAGCAAAGATGCAACTCTGGACAGAGGCAGCAGCTCTAAAATTATTCCAGGCATGTGGGTGTATGTTGGGGTTTCTGACACCCCCTCCACCCCCTCTCATAATTATTTGAGATTATATATATTGAATTATTCTATATGTCCTCACATCCAGCATTGTTCCTGCGTGACAAACCTGACACCTCAAAGGCAAACCCTTCAAATCATCAGAGCTGGGAGAGAGAGAGGGGGAAGTTGAAATAAGAAATATCCCCCTTTAAACTTTCTGGGGTTTGCTGCTGGATGTGAGTGTTGCTGTGGATATTTTCATCCGGTATCCAATATATATACATACAAATGGATAAATGCTTCAACATTCCCAGCTACATATGGAGAACTTTCAATAAATATGTGTTAAGGCAATGATTCATGTGAAAGAAATATGTCTCCTCCCATTCTCTTGGTGTTGGGGTCCCATTCCAGCATTACCTTAGATACCTCTCTATGTGGCTGAAGTTTCTTTTGCTGCATCTGTTTGTGTGTTTTAGGTCCATAAAAATCGTGAGTAAACCCACTTAAACCTCCTGTTAAAACCAAATCACTCAGTGCAAAAAGTAAAACCTTTACTTAGTGTCTCATTTTACAATAAATACACGTTATAAAGATGGGTCAAACTTTATGATGAATAGATTTCTCGCTTTCTGCAGTAATTTTTTGGGGGATTTGCACTTGCTTTTCTTGAGGAACACGTTTAGCAGCACGTAATAGCAGGAGCTTTGGCTCATTTCCTCTCCAGCTCTGTGGAACATTCAGCACAGTGACTTGACAAATATGTTTATTGTTAAAACCTCGGCGTTTAGTGATAAGGACATCCCAGCTCCACTGGGAGCTGCTGGACAGGGGCAAAGCCCGGAGGGAACAGGATTTTGGTGGTTCCGAGGGATCGTAAGTCACACAAAAGGAGTAGCGCCGGTGAGAGACGGCGAGGCACGAGCTCAAAGGACGGGAATTTGCACCACAAAAGCCCCAGACAGGAGGCAAACAGGTTGTCTCCCAAATCCCCCCCGCTCCACTCAGGCTTCATCCAAAGCCCCGGGGGTGACGTGAGTAATCTGCCGGCAATTTGTCTTAATAGGCTCCCAACGCCCGTTTGTTTTCTCTTTAATATTGCAGGTTTCCATTTAATTAAGCAGCTGAGAGGCACCAGCGCGCTCCTGGTGCTGCTGCTTCCCCTGGTGCTGCTCGCGGTGCTCGCGGGGGCTCAGCGAGCCTGCCCCAAGAACTGCCGATGCGACGGCAAGATCGTGTACTGCGAGTCCCACGCCTTCCGAGACATCCCCCACAACATCTCCGGGGGCTCCCAGGGCTTGTCCCTGCGCTACAACAGCATCCAGAAGCTCAAATCCCATCAGTTTGCGGGCCTCAATCAGCTCATATGGCTTTATCTCGACCATAATTACATCAGCTCCGTGGACGAGGACGCGTTCCAGGGGATCCGCCGGCTGAAGGAATTAATCCTGAGCTCCAACAAAATCACCCTCCTGCACAACAAGACCTTCCACCCCGTGCCCAACCTGCGCAACCTGGACCTGTCTTACAACAAGCTGCAGGTGCTGCAGGCCGAGCAGTTCAAGGGCCTGCGGAAGCTCCTGATCCTGCACCTGAGGTCCAACTCGCTGAAAACGGTGCCCATCCGGGTGTTCCAGGACTGCCGGAACCTCGACTTCCTGGATCTGGGCTACAACCGCCTGCGGAGCTTGTCCCGGAACGCCTTCGCCGGCCTGCTGAAGCTGACGGAGCTCCACTTGGAGCACAACCAGTTTTCGAAGATCAATTTTGCCCACTTCCCACGCCTCTTCAACCTGCGCTCCATCTACTTGCAGTGGAATAGGATCCGCTCCATCAGCCAGGGCTTGACATGGACCTGGAGTTCCTTGCACAACTTGGATTTATCGGGAAACGACATCGCGGGGGTAGAGCCTGGGACCTTCCAGTGCCTCCCCAACCTGCAAAAACTGAACCTGGATTCCAACAAACTCACCAACATCTCCCAGGAGACCATCAACACGTGGATCTCGCTCATCTCCATCACTCTGTCCGGAAATATGTGGGAATGTACTCGAAGCATTTGCCCTCTTTTTAATTGGCTTAAGAATTTCAAGGGGAATAAGGAGAGCACCATGATCTGCGCGGGCCCCAAGCACATCCAGGGCGAGAAGGTGAGCGACGCCGTGGAGACCTACAACATCTGCGCCGAGATCCAGGTGGTGGCCACCGAGAGGTCCTACCAGGCGCCCAGAACCCCCCCGAGACCCGTCTTCGTCCCCAAACCCACCGTGTCCAAACTGGAAAGCCATCAGCCCAGCGCCGCCACGCCGAGCCCTTCCGCCGACATCCCCACCCCGGGAGTGGAGCCGGAGTACGAGCACGTGTCCTTCCACAAGATCATCGCGGGCAGCGTGGCCCTGTTCCTCTCCGTGGCCATGATCCTGCTGGTGATCTACGTGTCCTGGAAGCGTTACCCCGCCAGCATGAAGCAGCTCCAGCAGCACACGCTCATGAAGAGGCGCAGGAAAAAGGCCAGGGAGTCTGAGAGGCAAATGAACTCCCCTTTGCAGGAGTATTACGTGGACTACAAGCCAACAAACTCTGAGACCATGGATGTATCGGTTAATGGATCTGGGCCCTGCACTTATACCATCTCTGGCTCCAGGGAATGCGAGGTATGAACCATGATCCTCCTAAAACCATTTCAGCTGCTGGGAAGGAGAGGTAAATGTTTGACGCTCTTGAGGTATCTCTAAATGCTGGAAAGATTAATGAGATTTTGTTTGATTTTTTTTGGAGGGGGGGGTGGTTGCTCTGTGGAAGGTTCTCTTGTCCCATATCAACAACCAGGGAAGGGACGGTGATTGTTTTGAGTAATTAAGGCTTATTAAAATATAGATTAAGCTGAAGTCAACAACTGTAGTAAAGGCATCTGGAGGGTTATTCTCCTCCTGTTTGCACCCATTTTATGAGCTGTGGCTACAAGAGAATCCTATTTTTAATGTATTGGTAGATACAGAGGCGTAAAAGAACCTCTTCTGCTTTAAAAATAAATATGGAAACCTCTTTACTCAGCCCCCACATGAAATCTTGAGGGGTTTATGGCCTATTTAAAGATAATGGCAAAGATTTTCTGCATTTTTGGTCTGGTTCAGGAGCGAACCAGAGAGCAACAGGACTGCAGCACAATCTTGGAGTTCAGGCACTTGTTTTCCTGGAGCAGCAGGAACAACAGAGGCTCCTTTGAACCCAAGCCTTGGTCCAACAGCACATTTGCAAATGCCTGGGTTGGGAGATGGATATTCTTGAGGTTTTAATTTCATTTCAGTGATCACTGGAAGTTAGACAGAGCTGATTTTCACATGCTTAAGACCGTGTTAGGATTTGACTCAGCAACATTGGAAGCACAAACAGCTCCCAGAGCATCTTTTCTGTTGTTCAGCTTTGAAAGGAAGCACCAAATTGTTTCCTTGCCTTCCTGTCAATGACTCCACCACTGTGTATGCAAGGGATGGGTTTGCTTTGAATGCTGATGCTTATTTATAGCCGGTAGAGGAGGATTTGCACAATTCCATTGCAGCACTTGTTCCTTAATCCTGCCCGTGACGTGGCTTTGGGGCACCGTGGGGGATTTTTCTCCTCTGGTTGTGGATGTCCTACCTGAGAGTGTTCCACGTGCTTGTTGGGGTTTATCCCAGTCCATTTGTGCAGATTGGGGTTGACTATGGAAATTCTGAGCCCTGACTTTGGCAGGAGAGCTGTGTTAAAGATGAGCAGAGTGGAACAGGCTGCACTTCTGGGATCCGGATTTGTTAAAAATGATGTTTTCACTTCCTGACAAAGGGGCGACTTTGAGATGTTTCATGTTTGGCACCTGAAATCCCCAGCTGATTTTAGACCATGGAGTCAAGGAGAAGGAAGAAAAATGCCTGTTTTGGGGTTGCTTTCTTTGGAGCAGTGTTGTCTTCAAAATAGGAAACCACCTGCCATATCCCTGTCATTGCTCCAGTGCCGTGGGAATGAAGGTGTGGGGTTTTTATTCCCTGTTACCAGCACAAGTAGAAAGTGATAGTAAAGTTATTTTGAATTTTCCCTGGCTGTCACAAGGAGCCCTAATTTGATCTGAAAGACTGTCTCCCCTTCATGCTCAGGTTTATCAGCACTGAAGTTTCATCAGCTTGTTGTTTAATTTGCACCACGATGGTGAGACAGCTGAATTTCCATGTTATAGCTGAACATCCAGCTAATGAAACCATCACCTCTTATGTTATTTGGATCTCAGAAGATGTAGGGGTGATATCATGTCATTTGGGAGACTGAAATTTGGGTAATCTGGGATTATGGCATATGATTCCAAGGTTGAAGAGCCCTACCAGGTGTAGGACAGAAGATCAGGGTGGTGTTAATTCCTCTGTGGTGGTGTGGGTTGTTACACACAGCATTAAACACAAGGGGACCCCAGTTCACCCAGTTTCCAGGTGCTGTGGCAGCACCACAACAGTTTTATTCAGGTTAAATTAAGGTGGTGCAGAACTTTGCAGGACTCAGGGTGTTTATTGTGTTGGTTCTGGTGTAAATCAGACTGTCCAGTGGCTCTTAGCACACTAAGAGAGACTCATAAATAATAGACAATAATAAAGACTTCAGGAGATGGAAACCAGATCATTGAAGGCACATGTAGCAACCCAAAGCCCTCAGTGAAATCCTGTCTTCAGCTTGGATTTGACATTCTTCGTCTCCATAGCTACAAGGTTCCACTTGTAAAAGGAGAGACAGGCACTGTACAGCACTTAAAAATGGGAAAAAAAATTCCTTGTAGATTCTACAGCAGTGGAAAGGGTTTGTGTTTGGGGAAAAAATAGAAAATGGAGCATCTCTTTATTTCCTAATTTACCCAAATGTACATACTTGTGGGAAACTGCCATTTTGTGTGAGTGAGACGCAGCTCAGGCCCATCCTCCCATGGGGCCCAGTTGCTCATTCCTGAGGTTTCTCCCAAAAAAGAACCCCTTGGATGGGAGAGGAGAGCCTGGCTCCCAGAGTGAAGGCAGGCAGGCTCTGGTATTCACTGCTTAGAACTCTGCTGAGTTTCCTTTTTTAAGGAATTGTGTTCAAATGATTGTCTCCTTCCACGTATCCACCTCCCACAGCCTGAGAGCAGCTGAGCTGTCCAACAACTGTGTGTCTTCAGGAAAGGGATAATGGTTCCATTGGAGCTGGGAAAGGGATAATGGTTCCATTGGAGCTGGGAAAGGGATATTGGTTCCATTAGAGCTGGGAAAGGGATAATGGTTCCACTGGAGCTGGGGAAGGGATAATGATTCCATTGGAGCTGGGGAAGGGATAATGGTTCCATTGGAGCTGGGGAAGGGATAATGGTTCCACTGGAGCTGGGAAAGGGATAATGGTTCCACTGGAGCTGGAAAAGGGATAATGGTTCCACTGGAGCTGGGGAAGGGCAGAGAAACCTGAGCAGATGCTGCTGTTGGGAGTGGGGTGATAATGGATGTTTTCTGAGGTCTGGGGAGCAGACCTGCTCTCTCCACAGGGATCATTTGGGGTTTGGGATTATCCAGCTCAGCTCATCCATAAACCACCTGTTTTCCAGGACAGAACTGGCATTGGAACAACGTGCTGAGCTGTTTCCACAGGTTCTGTTCTTCACAGCAGCAGGGATGGTTTTCTTTTAAGTTTAACGAGATTTTGAGTTTAAAACAAAGGCACACAGAGCTGCCCTGGAGAAGGGGAGGTGCAGGTACACTTTGTATGGCTGCTTTTTCCAGTCCCTGCTTTAGGAAATATTTCTTGTACTGCAGAGATAGAGGCAAAGCCAGGCTGGCTGGAAATGGGAGAGACTCTTGGCATCAGTGGGATTATAATCACTGACACCTGGCCTATGCTATTCTATTTAGTCTATTGGCAAGGGCTGCTAAAATAACTGGATGCTCATGATCTTGGCTCTCCCAGCCAGTCCCCAGACTGCTGCCATCTCATTCTGGTATTTGCTTTGTGCATGTGCATCTCATTGCCTCTCTATTTCATATTTATTTGTACATTTGCTGAAGATCTGGGGGCCGTAAAAAGCAGTTTCAGACCCCGAGCTGTGTTTCCTCCACCTCACACACGGAAAATAGCTGCGTTTGGCTCACTGGGAAGGGGAGTGGGGACAGGGAACATTGCTACAGGAATGTTTCCGTCTCCTGGAAGGTCATTCCTCTCCCCTTCCCCGGGCTGGCAGGGACAAAACAAACAACAAGCAAGCAGGTGAGCAGCTTGTCTGTGTGAGCTGAGGCCGTTCGAGAGGTGATGGACACACACCCCGGGAGGTCACTTTTACACCTCTCAATGTCTGCCCACATCCCGGGGACGAGCAGGGACAGCTCCACTGTGTTTGCCAGTGGAGTGTGAACCAGGGTGGTTGTCACTTGTATTTGCTGGTGCTAAACCAGTCACACAAAATCATGTTCAGCTGGAATTCTGCTTCCTGCCTTCTCGCCACTGGGGAGAAAGGACAAATAGACTGAGAAAGGAGTGCAGTGCATTCAGACTTGGTGGGCTGCTGATCTCCTTCTGAGCTTAGCTTAAAAGGAAATGTTAACACGCTGTTGTTGTTTGTTATTTATTTATTAAACACCATTTCTGTGTTGCTTTGGACAAGATGCAAAAAGGAAAAAGCAGGATAGTCTCCATCTCCAGGGTGTGTTTAGTGCCAGGTGCCAGTTCTGTAACTCATCATGAGCGTGCCCAGGGGCTCAGCCTGTGACCTCTGGGGAGAAATCACTCAATGACTGGCTGAACATTTCATTATTTTCTCTTAAAAGCAGTGGTTGTATTTCCTTTTGCTCGTCAGCCTGAGGTTTTTGGAAGGAATGCTGAGCAAGGATTTCATGGCAGAGGTGTGGGCTCATCATAGGTGGGGGAACAGGAAAGGAAGGTGATTCCACAGGTGGGGCATTGCAAGGACAAGAATATGGGAGGTGAGGACTGAGGAGAATGGGGAGTAGGAGCTCTCCATTAGCCTGCTGTCATCACTTTAGGGCCAAAGCAGTGTGGGTTTTTCTCCAGTGACAGTGTGGGTTTTTCTCCAGTGACTGTTTTGAAACACAGCAGGGCAGGCACTGTAATTTAGTTTCCTACATCCTTCTGTGCTGTGGCTCCTCCTCTGCTCCTCTTCCTCCACTTCTCTGTGATTATGGGCCTTAAATCCTTGTTGAGCTGTAAACTGAAGGGTGAATCAGCCTAATGAAGCTGTGTCAGAAGCTCTGGGTTTGTGTGGGGAGAGTGAGCAAAGGAGAAGCTGCTGGTGCTGCTCCTCCGAGCGGAGCCAGGGAGGGACATGGTAGAAGGGGCTCAGAGGGGGGAGGAGAAGGGACATTTTAGAAATCAGAATCACAGAATGGCTTGACTTCAAGGAACCTTTAAGATCACCCAGTTCCAACCCCTGCCATGGGCAGGGACACCTTCCACTAGCCCAGGTTGCTCCAATCCCTGTCCAACCTGGCCTTGGACACTTCCAGGGATGGGGCAGTTTTTACCCTTCAGAGCCTTTCTTAGCATTTCACGCTTGGTATTGCAAGAATAACATCAGCATAAGGAAAGCTGTGCTCTAGAAGCACTGGGGATGTAACAAAAAATGCACAGGGGCAAATTTTCCTGGGCTCAGCACTTGTGAAGT